CCCCAAAACCCCAAAACCCCGATAGCTAGTATTAAAACTTGCAGATTCTTATAATTAAATGAAAAGAAATAAGTTATATAAAATTATCTAATCCTAAGATGCCTTTGGCCATCCGATATCACTTAACTATAAAGATTCCTAAACCTTTAAGAGTTTATTTGGAGGAATTGTAACAATTATCATGAGAGCAGGATTATTTGCATATTTTATGGTAAACATTGTTAGTGTTGTGTAGAGAACTAGCGTTCAAGTTATTAATTCTAGTTATAAAAGAAATTTATCATTCGATACTACTGCAATTAATTTAGATAAAGAGAACTTTGACATGGGTCTCTACATAAGCTACTTTGGTGAAGACCCCACTGTTTAAAATGAAATTGATACATATTTCACCGCTAAATTCTACCAAGCCTTTTTCTAGGATGATCCCTCCACATAAGGATCACTTCTAGACTGGAAATCATAGGAACTTGAAACAGAAATTTGCAAAGAAGGAAGATTTATTGGAGAAAATGAGACCGCTAAAGTAATTAATATAACTGGAAATTTTTTATGCTTGAAAGATGACTTTAAGTTGAAACTCCAAGGGAGTACCTCATCTGAAACGGCTCATCTGATTTACATATCTGTAGATTACTGCGATTAAGAGTATTTAGATAGGCAGCACCCTAATCAAAATTTAACTTGCAAGCCCGAATCTTAAGCTTGAAAAATTGTGCCTTTTATATAAATTTACTTCTCTATTCTCACCTAATACTTTGATGGCCACCAATTCGATGATAATCCTATTGTTAACAACATTCTGAATCTCTATTATCCTATCAATCACGAGATAACAAATAATCAAATGATTAAGTATGCTTTTAACTACGCTCAGACGCAGGATTCTTGGCTGGCAAACGCTTATGACAATAAAAATTTGACATATTTTTCGGCAAGATCAGATTATTCCCAAATCGGAACAAGAAGTATTGAAGCTGATTGGAGTCTATTTAGTGTTGAGATTGATCTAGACTCAGATTACATAATTACTAATAGAAAAGTTATGACGATTTTAGATGCATTTTCAAATGTGGGAGGACTAATGGGAATAGTATTTGCAATGACAGGTTTCATGATTAAAGGAATATAAGAATAACTGTTTCTTTAATCCATCATTAAGAGAATATTCTTATTTAGAGATTCAGGTAAAAAGAAAGATTAAGGAACTAAAACTAAAGGCTCAGATAAGCTTTTAAAAACTATAAAGATGGGAAACTAAGATGATGATTCAATTGGGTCTTCCTAGGGTGTTTAAAGTAGTTTAAGTATCTCTTATGCTGATATGTTTTCAATTAAGACTAGCATTGAAACAGTTGAAAGTAAGATTCAATAGAATAAACAAAAGATAAGTGGGTAGAAGAGTTGGAAACAACATCTTAGTGACTAAATATTTGCATCTTTGAGAAGTCTATCCTCTTTCAATTACAGCTTATGGGAGGATTACTGGTTTAAGTGCAGAAAGTCCATTAATAAGTGCTTGATAAGAAAAAGCTTAAAGGACAAATTTCTGACTAAAAATACTTTATTCCTCAAAGCTAAAAATAACATTAAAAGAGAGTTTGACGTCACAAGAATAATAAAATCTATCAGATGAGTTGATCTCATGTACAAGACTCTATTCTCAAAATACTAGTCCTTCTTCATACCATTCCTAAAATCAAATATTCTTACATAGGATGATCTTAAGTCTAAGCACAGTGATCCTGAATTTAATAATAAAGACTTAAAATCTGTAAGAGACTTGGGCGATGACTAGCTTATGATATACATATCAGAATTAGTGCTAAGAGGTGACGATGATAAAAATAAGATAGATAAGAGAATATTGAAAAACCTGACAGATGACTTCTAAAGATTGGCAACTTTGACCAAAGCCACTGCTGATGATAGCTACTCCACAAGCAACAAAATTGGCATCTCTGCTAAAAGAATATTCAGACAGCAGTTCCAAAGTAGATTAGAAAGTGAGTGGAAGGTTTGAATAGAATTCCCCACTCTGTAATATATTAATATGCTGTTGATGATATTATCTGAAATTTATTTTCTATAGTCAAAGAAATAACTGTGATTGTATATAGCGGGGTTTTGGGGTTTTGGGGTTTTGGGG